TATCTAAAAGCGAAAACTTATATCAAAATCTTAAAATCAATCTCTATGCGCATATGACTTACGCCTTAGTGAGGGGGATATCCTTCACACTGGAAGGAAACACAAGAGCTAGTTGATCGGCGTCTAGGTAGCTGGGATGAGGCAGTGGGCGAACACAACAGTCCTGGAGTACGCTGCCCCAGGGGGCTGGTCGTGATGGCGTCAGTTGGGAAGCTAAGTGGGCAGTAGGAGAAGTTGAATTAGTCTGTAGCTTTTGGATGGCAGAGATGTAGGGCCTCATGCGCATTCGGCAAGCCCAGACATGACGTCCAAATGAACCACGAATAACTAGTAGGGCTGAAGGCGTCCTGATGATAATTATAAAGTTTTCGAGTTAAATGATAGATTTATCGTAATAAAGACCAAGAAAGTAATACGATGAATCAATGGATAGAAGAGATCATATGAGATTAATAGAGATAAACAATCGGAAGCGACGATATGAGTAGATATTTATGGATTAGACGTATAGGGAGGGGAGAAAATAAGGAAAACGAGAATTATAAAAAGTAAATTAACATTGAAGAAATAATAGATAAAAAATTGGAGAAACGAAAACGAATAAGATCGAATTGTAATGTAAATTAGTAGGCGTAGCATTGGGTATGCGTTTAGAAAAATTTATAAACAAACGGCCTTTGATTCTGCAATGCTACCGCATGTTGTGCGAGTGCATCACTCTTGAAATGAGTGTGATGTGAGAGTCAAAACCATATTCCAGCCTAATAAAGCCTCCTTTTGTTCGGTGGTACTTCTCGTTCCCCCTCTCTATCTTTAATCCATACAACAGCCACAAGTAGTTTCCACTTAACTTCCTATACTCATTCCTTCTATTCAGAATGTTGGCTGTTTCGTTGATTTCTACCGCCTCTAATATTTCGCTTATTGGTATAGTCTCCATATCCAGCTAAGACTTTTGGCATTAGAATAATAATGATATAGACCAACCTAGCGATGTACTGTACATATCTTACCCTTAATGGTAAACTGTACGGACAAATACGAGGTTGAGCCATGGAATCATGTTTGTCACCAATTTTAGGAAATAATTACATGGCTTC